CCATCTATGATGTCTATCAAATTTAAAGGGTCGGAGCGGAGAAGATTTGGAATCATATTTTACTTCTGATATTATATATCATGTTGAAAGACTTTAAGACTTGTTTCATTGAACATAACAACATCAGTTTACTGTGCAAGCATCTGATACAAAGCATCAGTGTTTATAAGGAACCCATACTTACCATCCTGTTTGAAGAAGGTTTTGAGCAACACAGGTATGACACACAATATAAATGCAGGTGTCTCTATAGAAGAATATTAGGGATGGTCCAAACTGTCTCCATTAAGAGAAGACTGATTGTCCAAAAAAGGTTTTGCACGTTGCAATGCGACAGTTACTTATCGAGGCCCGTGTGCTGACTGCACTGGAGTAGCTAATGTAGACAAATTTAGGCAGGGGTGTGGTATTAATCTTAGGCGTGATTATTTAGCTCTATCATTCATCCTGAAAACTCAATGGAACTGGCACAAACACAAAATAAACATCTGTCTTTCATGTTGGCAGCAGTTGTACATTTTCTACCTAAATAAAGTAGTTAATCTTTCCTGCAGGACACATTTGGCTGTGACACAATTTATCCTCTCCTCAGACTCATTAATGGAGATTCTCACCAACATTGTTTGAATACAGCCGACAGTGTTAATGATCAATGATAGAAGAAAATATAAAGATCATTCTACAAAGGAAGTAGTATCTTTCAGATGCTTTTTTGAGGTTTCCATGCGGGCGACTCTTTGTAAATTTGTGGGATAAATACATTTAATATTTTCCCTCCCGAGCTCTCTTGCCTCGTAGGTTCCTCTGGTTGCTGTGGATTTACACACTGTAAGATGGAACACTAATTTCTGTCGTACTAATCGTCATTTCTTTCTCTAACTGGATGTTGGGTGAGGGAACTTCCTGGTTTGAGCAAAAGGCATGGCCTTCTTCTTCTTCTCTTTGTTTTTTTTGGGAGCTATACAGTGAAATGTATCTGCAGTGTCCACCTGTAGTGATCTCTCTAAAATGACTCAGGCACATTTACCTGGGTTTGCACAGTTCCTTCCTTCAATGTGATGTCCATTTCCTCCCCTGTGATATAAACAAAGCCCAGAAATCTCCTGGCAGCATTCAAAACCATTTTAATATATTCTGATTTAACCTATTTATCTGCAGAGTTTATGGCAATAGAGGTAAATGCTAGAAAAGGTTTTTTTTCAAGGTGTATGCGTTCTGATGTAGGGGGGAATTTCAGTTCAATTAGTTTTTCTTAGTATGTAGTTAACTCAACGTCAATTTTGTCTACCCCTTGAGTTTGATGTGGTTTGATGTGGTTTGGCCAAACCACTATAAAGGTTCCCTTTTGTGTCATTGTGTTAGGTCATATGAAAAACAAAAACAGAACCTGAAGGAGGAACTGGGGAAGACTGGAATTCACTATAAAACCCTGCTGACTATATGGCCAGCAGACAAGTTTTCTTTGAGTTCAATAAACTGACTAGAGTAGTGGATACTGGGAATTGAATTCCTGTGTCTTGCACCACACTGTGGCTCAGTGGTAGAGTTGGTTGTATCTCAACCAGAAGATCAGCAGTTCAATCCACTGCTCCTGCAGCTACTTCTCCTATGTGTCCTTTGGCAAGACATTCAACACCAAGTTGTGTCTGTTGTTTTCTCAGTTGCATATAAATGTGTATGAATGGGATTAGTTAATACTAATCTACCTAGCAGCCTCTACCATAAGTGTGTGTAAATGTTTAGGTGAGACCTGCGCTGTAAAAGTGCTTTGAGTAAAAGAAAAGCACTATACAAGCTCAAGTCCATTTACCATTTGATTACTAACATTAGGAATAGATTTCTGCAGTACAGAGAAAGAGATGAAACAACCCCTCTGAGACATGTTTACAGTGATTGTACAAAACTCCAGCAGTGATAAATAATATTATCCAAATCAATATATATAGCTCAGGATTGGGTTTGCACCGACTTCCATGCACCTTCATTGTTTTCACTTGTTAATGTGTCGTTAAGCCTCCTGATTATTTGATTTCTCTGTTGTACATGGTGTACCAGCAGATCGAGTTTCCTCCCCTCCTGTAATGGTATGTTCTCTCTCTTCAAGCCAATAACTTATTATTTCATGCATAAACACATTTGAGACTGTTTCTAATTTCACATGTTAATTGCTACTGAAGTTATTAAAGAATCTACATAATTTATATGTCTTGTTAAAATTAGATTGAAACACATTTTGATTTTTGTTCAAAAAAGAGTGACTCACTAATCAAAGAGGATGATAAATAAACAGTGTGGCAGGGTAAACATGCATCTGATTGGCTATTGCTCAGGAAGACTTGCATATAAAATGTGTGATCACTCATAAATCAGTTGCTATTTATGATACTTTCAAACTAATGTGTCACATTTTAAAGTTTAAGCTCCTAAGTGTGCTCTACATAACTTTGATAAATACAGGCTCTGTTCTTTGTGGTAGTTCGAAAAAAGTTTGGTCAATATGAGTTTTGGGAAAACAGGCTATTATATACTGTTTGACCGTAAAACTCGTAAACTCACGACTCAATAAAAACATCTTTGCTTTTTTCATTTAGAAAACTGTTTTTGTCCCCCATGTGTTCCACAAGGCTCAATCCTAGGACATCAAATATTTTCATTAATTCCAAAAAGATATTACTGGTGCAAATTCCGTTCAAGTTTAAAGTGGCATGTCAAAATAAATCAAACTCAAGCCATGGTTATCTATACCACTTGTCCTGTTTGGGGGGCGGGGGGGCTTGAGGCAATACCAGATGTCATTGGGCAAGAGACGGGCTACACCTTGGACTATGTCAATCCCACGGCCGACATACAGAAACAGACTAACTTTCATGTCTAGTCTTACACCTGCGGGCAATTTAGAATCACCAATTCACCTGACAAGCATGTCTCTGGAGGGAGGAGGGAGGAAGCCGGAGTACCTGGAGGGAACCGAAGCATGCACAGGGAGAAGGTCCTGTGCGGGATGGGACTCAAACCAGGAACCTTCTTGCTGTGAGTTGTCAACTATTGAATTACCCATACTAATAGATCAAAAACAACATCGTACGAGGTGAAACATTGTTTTATTATTCATGTTACATATTAGGTGTCAACGCAGAGTATACATGTACAAACATAATTTCTCAAAAAATACATCAAACTGAACTTGGACTTGACTTCTAATCAGAAAAAAAAATAAAACTACCTCTCTCAAAATAATATGTTTCCTCAATGTTGATGTCTGTATTTCCTCCTATTTAGTTTTAAACTAATCTGGTTCTGTTCCAACAAGAGTACAACCTATAACGAGCACTTGACGGGTAGAGACATACCATAGAAAACACACAAATACATTCATCACCAGCGCCTAAAAATGTTCGACACACCTCTTCCTAATAAACTACAGTCAAATAGTCACTGAGGAGGATGGAAATGGTAATGCAACATCATTTCACTGCCCTGAAATGTAAGCTATAGTGCAGGAGAATAAACGGAGAGGTTCAGTATTTAAAGAAAATCAAGATAGTTTTGCACTGGTGTGATTTTAACAGTATGATTATTTTTTCAAACTTAAGCTGTAATGCAGTCTTTTAAGACAGAACTGTAAAAGTACACATTGTGTAAGTTATATCCAACACATTGCTGAAATAAACCTCTGTATTAAAATATAAACTCTGAACTTGCACCACAGTATTTTAGATTTATGTAACCCGGCTGCACAAAGATAAACATCCAGCTGCAGCCAGAACTTTCCTCTGTAAATACATCTGAGAAGATCAGTCAGGCCTTGAATGAATGAATTAAATCAATGTTGAATCTTTGAGATTAAAGACCTTTAAAACCCTGAAATGTAAAAGAACGGTTAAGTTTGTAGATTCAGTGTCTTCTTTACCTGTACTGTCACTTTGAAAAAACAAGGAGTGAACCTTCAACAGTGATCCCCAATGTATGAGCCACTGCACCCTGGTGGACTATCAAGGTACTGCACGTGGGGATTCAATATATCATCTAGGATAAATAAACATATTTATTGTTTCCGATTTTTAATTTTAACATTTATACAGAGCCCCTGATGTTCAAAAACAGTGAAAGATTTTAGACTGTATGCACAAGTTATAATGTGTGCATAATAATGGAGAATAAGTTAAAAACTTGTGCAAAAAAAAAAACATTTTCTTTTTTACTTTTTGGGACTTCAGAGGCTTGGTACATTTGCGCTTGTTTTTTTAACCTGTATGTGGACGGCTTCGTTATTTCCATAGGCCCAGTTTCATGTGTACGTTTTTGGTAACACTTTCTTTGAGGGGTATGCATAAGACTGACATGACATTGTCACAACCATGACTTGTTTAATGTCAAGGTGTCATAACGAAGACATCCTTAACAGTGTCACCTTTGCATTCAAAGTGACATAGCTGACTGAATGACAACAACACTAAACATTCATAAAGGCTCCTTCATGGTTATGCCAGGTGTCATGTCATGATAATGATAGGTAGGGCTGGGAATCTTTGGGTGTCTCACGATTCGATTCGATTCGATTTGATTTCAATTCTTGGGTTCACAATTCAGAATCTAATTTCGATTCAAAACATGATTCAAAGTCTTTTTTTTAACTTCAGGATCTACTCACACTGCATGAAAAGTGGGACTTCCAGCAGTAACCGTCACAGTTCATTGCCGTGGAAGTTGAAATAAACGGGAATTTACAGTCAACACACTAAACTGCCTGAAACTGCCAGGAATTACCGCCGACTGGCAGAATCGAGCTATGCAAATGCAAATCAGGATAGTGTGTGTGTGTGTGTATTTGTTTATATGTGTGTGTATACAGAAACGATTGACAGTCTCACAGACGACTGGCCACTCATCTGTGAGAATGGCTGAATTTCTTGCTGCTACATTTGGCGTTCTACTGAGTTAAAGAGCTAGCCTTAGCGCTTAGCAGGGAGTGACTGATTAGCCCCCCCCCCCCCAAAAAAAATCTATATTTGGAAGTTATGAATCTGTTTAAAATCTCAGAGGATGAGAATCTCGATTTTTTTAATAATTAAATTTTTCATGGTTATGACAGGCAGTCTTATTCATACCCCTTCAAATAAAGCATAACCAAGTTTCTTTCGATTTAAGAAGAAATAAATGGGGACTATAATATGTTAGTTTAGAGTGTTCGATAGAGATGTGTGATGAGAGGTTTGGGTCTGCACCAGAATATTTCAAGGTTTAAGTCGGCCTGCAGAATTCTTAGACTAAGATGAACAGTGGTTGGACCTTAGGCTGATCTGTGATGACAAAACAACTTTCATCGGAAAAAAAACCCAAATCATTCTTTTAAATAAATTTCCTGTTTGGAAACTTTAAACGGACATCTCAATAAATTATACATTTCTTTTTTTGTTTATTTGGAATGTACAGTAACGTCACAGTCTGCTCTGATTTAAAAAAACAAAACAAACATTATAACTGAGTCGTGTGTACCCATGTATCTGCCTTCGTTTGTAATTTACAGTAATATGACCTTCCTAATCGGTCTGTCTTCTGATTGGTTGACTCCGATCAGCGGACCAATAAGCAGGTACACAACCCATAGAGGCACTATGCAACCACGGCAAAAAAATAAATCAAAGTTATTCGATCATAGCAATATATTGTGAATATATAATTCTATCTATAAAACAAAAGCCCTCTTGTGGCTCCTATTTCTAATACTTACAGAAGTCTAAATGTAAATCATGACAAAAATCTAACGTAATTAAGAAGTAACCCCCGTAATAACATGTTTACAATCTCGTCAAAACGTACAGCCATGAGGGGAGACATGAAAACCTCCAGAGAATTGGTGGCCAAACAGGTTTGAGTCTCAGAGCAGGTTGGATGGTGGAATTATATTCTTCATTTTTCTAGCTTGTTTTTTTCCCATAAACTTAAGCATTATAGGGGTGCCAGATGGCCTAGCGGTTATGTCGCACCCCCCATGTATGGAGGCTATAGACCTCGTCGAAGCAGCCATGGGTTCAGATCTGACCTCTGACCTGTTGGGACCTCTCCTCCCAACATTTCCTGTCTCTTTTCAGCCGTCCTATTGAATAAAGGCAAAAAAGCTCAAACAAAAAGAGAAATGCTTTTTTTTGTAATTTCTTAAACTATACTGTTGCTTTCATTACTGTACCATAAAAACCTTTTCTTCTTGATGTGGGCGAGTTATCAAGAAATGATCCGGGGGTTTACATGTCTTCCCTCATCACTGTAAAACATGATAAATGCAAAAGGCATATTCCAAAGTTAACAGTACAAATACCAGAGAAACACTAGCAAAGAGGGACATTTAGTAACAAGTAGTGAGCTATAGTGATGTTCAGTAGAGGTGAAACTTTGAGAGCGACCTGGATTTGCAACGTGTACAGATTCCCCCCCCCCCCCACCCTTTTTGTCCCATGTGTACCTTTTAAACGCCTCCACATTTTACAAACACAGAATTCCTGTGGAAAAACAGTCATAGCGTCTCATGTCGACTCAGTCTGTTTCAGTACAAACTCACATTCTCCCACTCCACCAGGTACTGCACCTTCCCGCCAGGTGTGACACGTCTGGCCAAAATCCGCACTGCCTCCCCTCCTCCCCAGCTGCGGGTCACTGTCCCTTCAGATCCTCCTACCCCAACACCCCCACCTCCACCTCCTCCACCACCTCCACCTCCACCTCCACCACCACCTCCCCCACCCCCACCTCCACCTCCACCTCCACCTCCCCCTCCGCCCATGCCGGCCTGGTAAGGAGGCAGATCTCGCAGGATGACCGGCTCCAGCTGCTTCTGCCCCGTCTGGTGTTGGTGTTGGTGTTGATGGTTGTGTTGATGGTTGTGTTGGTGATTACTTTGGTGGTTGTGTTGGTGATTACTTTGGTGGTTGTGTTGGTGATTACTTTGGTGGTTGTGTTGGTGATTCTGTTGGTGGCTGTGATGGTGCTGGTGGAGTTGGTGGTGGTGGTGATGGTGATGGTTGCCGTTGGAGTTAAGTGGGTACGGGAAGCAAGGAGGTGGTATTCTGCAGGAGTCCTCCACGCTTGGAAAAAAGAGACACAAGCACAGAAGTCAGGAACAGGCAGATATATAAAAAGGTTTTCAAACTTTTAGATACTTCGATTCTTTCTAACCACCTGTTTTGAATATATACAATATCAGTTCTTATTATGAATGAAAGCATTGATGGACCAAAGCTTTTAAAGAAGCTGCAGGACATCAGTCATAATTTTAAGCCAAAGATGCTGCAAGAGTTAGCGACAGAGCAACTGTGGTCCATCCAAATTTACAGGTCATCAAATACAGACGTTTCTCAGCTCCTTTTTGGGTCTCATAAAGATGCAAAAGTTACATTTTTGTGTCTTACAATCAGACAGAGAACAGCGGAGGTGATAGCACGTGTGGCACTGTCTTGGACCCCCTCGAAAACGAGATGGTTCATCTCAAGGGGCAATCCATCAAATAAACAGAATTTCTCACAATCACACAAATAAATGTGCAGTAATTCAATACTGCCACGCTTCAGTTCTTGGTGCTTTGGTTCACTCTTGCTGCTCTCACTTTCCCGAAGATTCACAAACAAACGCTCCAAAAACCACTGAGCAATACGAGCCAAAAGATGTTACTAAGTTTCACCATGACCAAGAATATACGTTTATTGACTTAGCTATACTGCTAAGTCTCAACTTGAAGAAAACTGCAGCACCTATTGCAGGTGCTTGGATTAAGAACTTGGCACAATGTATGTAAATGGAGAGAATAACACACACCCTGAAAAACAAGTTGGATGTCTATGAGGGGATATAGAAACCACTTAAAGACTTTATGAAATGTAGAAATATTGGGAGGAGGAAGACTCAGGTTAAGATAACTACAGAATTACAAAAGTGCCAAAAGACGCCAAAAATCAATGAAGGCGGGATTTGGCGATATGTAACTCTTGGTTTATGAATATACATGTGTATGTGTGTGTATATAATGCATGATTATATTATATATTTGTGCTGTGGGTGAGGGGTTGGATATAGCTGTTTTTTTTTTTGTTTCATTATATTGCTGACTAAGGGGGAACATAATATGACGTATTTTGTTGCTCCAAATTGTTAATGCTTCAACAAAAGGAGGCTTTTATATCCAAGGAAACTCTAGCTAATACAGAATAAAACTATGCAGAGTTAAGCAGCAAAAAATCCCGGTCTTATTTTTCAATGTGTAGGACATAAAGGGTTCTGCAGAGCTCAAAGCAGCTGAAGAGCATCTGTTTCAAACGTTTGTTACTCTGTCATAAGCCGGACTTTTGTTATAATAGAAGAGTGATCAATCAATGCACTCAGCTGCCAACAGTAAAATTAGTGGTCCAACAGAGCAGCCTCCAAATGCCACTCTGGATTAGTCAATGTACCTGATGCGTGTTTATCGATGTCGTGCAGGAGTTAAAAAGGAAACAGGGTGACATGTGAGTAGAAACCTGTTGTAGTGATGGAGACTCCGGGAGAGGGCTGTGTTTCCGTTATACGAGGTGTGGTACAGGGCGTACATCCGCTTGGGAGGAGAGCTGGGGACAGAAAGCACAGAGGTCGAAGACAATGATGGAATTACAACATCCATTTAAAATGAAATCATTGTATCCGTATGCAGTTCAAAAATAAGCACAAAAACCTCTTTTATAGGTGCAATCAACCCAACAACGTGTTTGTTGTGGTCACTTATTTGAATAAACAACATTTAAAGAGGTCTTTGCCGTCGACAGTTTCTAACATTTCTAACATTTTCTAATTAAGGACGTATCCCACCTTCATGGAGGGGTAGTGGAAGACATCTCAGAGGTGGATTCATTCAAACTTAAACCTTAATAAATCAGTTTCATGCTACTATTCAGCCGATAGTGTAAATCATTAGGATGTTGCCTGTAAGTGTCTGAGGCAAAGAATAACTGTGTTGTTGCAAGATTTTTCTTCTGTCATCTTTCACTAATAACTTGTTATTGTTATTGGCAGACCTGCCTCCTCTTCTGGTCTGTGTTTGTCTGTTCAGGCGGGCAGGAAAATGTCAGGGAGGAAGCTGTGACCATGAACAAAATCCTAAAGTTTAAGGCGGTTAGTCAACAGTGCAGCTCCCCGACTAAACACATATCACATGTTAAATAGGAGACATGAGCCTTTCACTCTCCCATTGAACCATCAATAAGTTACCAAATGGCGCAGCACGTCCTTACCTCAAACCAAGCTCCTCCTCTGACTTCCTGGAGTTGTAAAGGCTGGCCCCTCCCATGTAGCCATGGCAACATGGCAGCAGCTCAATAGGGTTGGCATCGACTGGGGGTGGACAAGGCTGGGCACAGGAGACACACATGGATCAGCTCGTGCGGGTGCCAACATCATCACAGGATTCAATCAGGCTGTGATACCTCCGTGATCAGACATACGTTAAGATCATTCTGCACGGGGACCGTTCAGTTTTGAGTTTTTAATAATTCTAGGTGAAAGTTTGCATACTGAAATACTGGGTTGATGTTCGTTTTGTTTCATTTTTCACTCTTAAGAAACAGAAAAAAAGCTTGAATTCGATGTTCCTTCATCACCTGAGGGGCAGAAATGTCTTAAAATCCACACTGCTAGCATTAATGGATGTGAGTCACATCATCAGGGCTCATCACACACAGCCCTGGGATGTTTTCCCCTAAAATATATCCCCTTGCATCCCATGGAGGTGTCTGCTTAGCGGGGCAGTTCTCTCGTCACACCTACTTACTATCCGTGAAAACTTAAAACATCGGAGCATCATTGCTGCAGCGATCAATCACGGGGAACCGTCACCTAAAGGTACATGCATTTCTCATCGCTGGCCTGTGACATATGGCTCCACTCTGGGCCCCTTTATCGCTCCCTTCACTGGCATTACTATTAGGACGGGAGATTATTATTCAGTGGCCTTTGTCGACGTCTGTGCCTTTAAATGGATGTGCTCTGTCAATGCTGCACTGTCAAGGTGCCAGCGCCACCTGGCCAAACTGTAATCGACTGCAAAGTGCACTTGGAAGTGATCCCAGGCTACAGCATATCAGCATTCCTTCCCATCTCACTTTCCCCCGCACGACAACGAACCTGCTCCTCCAAGACGGACGGAGATTAGCATCAATCAGAGGGGGCACAAAGGGGGCCTGGAAGTGCCAGAGTGAAAACGGGGTGTTCTGTGGAGCGTATTGTTCCAGGATTACTGTATTTGCACACACACACACACACGCACACACAGGGATCACAGTGTTGTGTAGGAGGACACAGTACAATGAGCATTGACGGTTAAGAATGCAGTTTAAAAATAGTAACTGCCACATGTGATGTTTGCCTGTTTCCCCTGGGATCTGCTGGGAATTGGGTCTGATGATCATGATAAATGTGGCGCTGAACTGCAGATGTTGATGAAATACATGAGCGGGCTTTCTGTGCAGCCGAGTTTGCATTTGAATTATAGATTTGAACTGAAACGCACAACACGTCAGGTCTCACACGCGTCCTTAAGACTCTGAAGCAACAGCAGGAAATAAACATACGGCATCAAAAAAGAAGGAGAAGGAAGAAAATGTGGAGGCACCGAGCTGCACCGGGGTGTTTTAAAGACACGCAGACTGATCTAGACTGCGAAATGAACCTTCATCACAGCCTCTGACTGACAGGTTATTTGGATCACAGAGGGCTGTTTACCTGGCTGCATCAAAAAAAAAAAAAAAAAAAGAAAAAAATAATCAGGACGGTTTTGTGGCCCAGACTTCCTCCCCCTCACCCTGAGTTGAAGACAAACGCACTGACCTGTGTCTCTATGATGCGGCGCTTTGATTTACGTGACTCCGGCCCCCCTACTCTCCTCTGGCAGGCCAGTGACAACGGGCTGCAGAGAACAAAAACACATAAATTAAAAAAGTACACAAACAGCCCCAACGTGCAGGGTTTGGTTTATTAGTTTGTCTTCATAAAAGCCACTTGAGATGTGCACGATGAGAGCAGCGAGATGATTCTGATGTTTAATAAAAGAAATAGATTTCACATTTATATGAGCCCATGAAGCCTCCATAAAAATAATAAAATAATCCTATAAACACTCCTCTTCTGTCTTCTTCTCTCTACCTAAATTCACTCATATTCTCTCTTTTTCTTCTGTGTAAAAACGAAACTGCTGATTGTCTCCTGACTCATTTATAAAAACAAGACTGACGCTCTGAAAGTCTCCACAGAAGTAGCCCCTAGACACTGAAATATCCATTACAACCCACTTTGATAAAGGTTGAATGGCAACATATCCCTCATGGTGCTACAAATAGAGCCGCATAGGTAGCAGGCATTTAAAAAACTTTGTGCTGGGAGCAATTCAGGAGACAACAGAGAGATTCAAATCACGACGTCTCCTCTTCAGAGATGCAAATTTGACATTTTTTCTGAGGGGCAATAAAGAAGCTGAAGCGAAGTCGAAGCATTGATGTCAGTAAAGTGTATCAGTGACAATTGCAACTTATTTTTCTGCTTAATTTACCTGCAGTTAAAGGGGACATATTATGATCCTGAATGTCTACCGACCCACAAAATATGAAATAAACCCATCCAGTCCTTTGTTTGTGGTCTGCATAAAGTCTAACAAATGCTCCGTTTCAAATGTGCTCTCCTTGTGACATCACAGTGGGATTCTGGTGAAAAAAAAAGTGCCCTCCCCTCCCCTGGTATTTCCACCCATGGACTCCAACCCCAGCCTAGAACAAAACTTTTGCACAGGTCTGCTATTTCTATTCTCGCTACATAAACAAACAACAACCAAATGAAATCAGAGAAGCACACACCAATGTACACCGCAAACAAAATATATTACACAAGACCCGCATTAAAAACACAAAATTAATCAGTGTAAAAGATAAAAACAGATGAGGACAGCATAAATATTGCCAGGGGCGTGTCCAGACATTTTGGACTGGGGTGGCCCGATTGGGGCGCTGACTTGTGCAGGGTGGGCTGATGTTTGTGTGCACACACATGAATAAAGAGCATTTATTTAACCCTTCCGTCTGCACCAATCACCAACATATACAGCTTCTTAGCTTAATTCTTCAAGGACTCAAAACTATATGTATGTCTAAAATCACATTTCAAAGTATTTAAAAAATTGCAAACAAACATCTGCATCCTGAGAACTATGAGCTGTCTGTTGCAACTGCCTGATTTTAAGTCCCACCTCTGGCACCTTGGGTGGCCAATAAGATTTCAAGGGGGGCCCATGCCACCCCTCTGGACACCCCTCTGTACACGCCCCTGGCTACTGCACAACCCACTCACAGCCTCAAGAAACACGATTCAACATTTTCATTGAGGTTTACACGAAGTCGCATAGCCCTTGAAAATGGGAAAACTAATCAAAGTAAGTTTGGGAGAAGACAATCAGAGGATACTAAAGATTACGATTGCATGCAGAAAAACGGAACACTTGTGTTTTATAGTCTCAAATTATACGAGTTCTTGTGAAAATAAAAACCTTATCAAACCACAACCCCCTATACACTCGTGCACTCTAGAGACAGATCCACTGAAAGTATTTCATTGTAATTCAGCCCGAATAAGCACCAGCCAAATGCTAGAAATTATTCAAAATGAAAAACTGTGCCTATGAAATCTGCAGACTACAGGACACACACACACACACACACACACACACACACACACACACACACACACACACACACACACACACACACACACACACACACACACACACACACACACACACACACACACACACACACACTCTCTCTCTCTCTCTCTCTCACTCTCTCTCTCTCTCTCTCTCTCAGATGTACAAACGTAAGCCCACACGGGGGTTTTATACCCTTTTAGGAGATTATTAAGTCACTGATACTTTCGCTGGCATATGAAAACTGCAGTGCTTCGGTTCCTACGTTAATTGTTCATGCGTAATGACTGTGTGCCCTGTGGGAATCCCGAGGAGCTTTATTGAGATAAGAGCTGAAAAGAGAGATGCTGTCCTTACTCTGACCTTCTCCGGTGCGTGATGCTGATAGGTGGGTCGGTGATGAGGGGCGACGAATCAGTCGTCAGCGGAGGCGGGGCTCGGACCTGAAGCCCGAAAAGACACTTCTTCTTCTTGATCTCCTTTCCAGACACAAACCTGCGGGCCACATCAAAGGAAAAAGTGGTACCATCCAGGCTGGTTTCGCCTCTTTAAAAAAAAAAACACACACTATCTTCTTCTTCTGTGTGTGCGTGTTTTCATTACTTCTCTTTGATGCTTATAATAAATGTGATGTTGTGTAACAAAATGCACTTTCACTCCTTATGGAGAAGACAGCAGCATTTCAAAGGTAGAGTCTGTGTAATTAAGTATACATATTAATTAGAGCAGACTTTGCCTGGAGAAATGTGCAGCTTTGTGTCTGCGAGGCTAATTTTAGAAACTGCATGAAAAAATGTAATAAGCCTCTGCAGTTTTTTATGTGATTTAATAACGGTGACTTATGTCCTTCTCTACCACAAAAAGGACCAAAACATGTCAAATCTCATCTGGTCTCTCTCTCTCTCTCTCTCTCTCCTCCTCACTCTGCTTGATGCACACCTGATGCGATAACAATTAGTGCAATTAGCAGTTAGCACTCAGGTAGGAGAAGGGGTGCTTCTGATTTGCAAAGTGCAGACACAATCTGACAGTAGACAGTCCCTTCTCTCCGTGCTGTATCCTGTTAGAATCTACTGTTCAGTAAGCGCACACAGTAGGCCGATATTTGTTACTACTTCGCCTGATTCATTCAGAGTGGAAGTGGCTTCATTAGCCTGCCTCATGTTATTGACACTCAAACTCAGATGTGATCAGCACGATGGCTCAGTAAATAATACAAAACTTCACACTGCATGAAAACAAATTAACAACTTAACATTTGAAAGGCGCGATAACCGAACCGGCCGTATCCATCTTCGTTTGTTTTGAACGTAAAGTGGCGCACTGTGGATGTTAAAATACAATTAATTTCCCGAAAGGATGCATCAACACCATACCGCACAAAAACCCGGAAGTTAGCATCCATGCTGAAATGTTCAGTCTACTGAGCTGAACCCGAAAAAATGCCCGCTGAACGACCACGAGGGTTCAGTCTACTGAAACCCAAGACTGAAAAGTCTGCACTCCTTACTGAACTGTGGATTTTCAGAAAGGGCCAAGGCGATTTAAAGTGGCAGGGTGTGCAGAGGAGGTGGCTCACACACACTCTGTGCAGAAGGTGAGGAGCTCTTTGCTTTCCTGTTTTTTTTTTCCCTCCTTTCCCAAATCATGTATTTATTTGGTAACCCTTTATTCTCATAGTCCATCTGTTGACACTCAAGTAGATATATCAGTAGATGTTCAGTTGCATGTCAACAGTGTGTAAGTTCATATTCAAAAAGTTAAATTACTTTCATTCAACTTACTGTGGGTAAGTGTTATAATCTGTTGATTGTCAACTAAATATTACATTCGTAGAAAATCAATATGTTAGCAAGTAATGTGCAGTTGACTATCTGTTGATTGTCTTTTAATCATATCTTTAGTCGACAATCAAAAGATTATGAACAAGGGTTAGGGTTAGAGGGGGTTAAAGTTCATAATACAGAAAAAAAAAAACACAGTCAGCAGACACTTTTTGTCTTTTAACAACTTGAAATGCACTTAAAGTCTACCTAAAGTTAGCTGAAGGCATGTTACATGACTTCTGAAAATGTTTTGTTGAATATGAACAGACACACTGTCGACATGCAACTGAATATCTACTGATAGCTCGTTGACTGTCAACAGATGGACGATCAGAATAAAGTGTTGCCTATTTACTTCCAGTACTCATGCTTGTTTAGATTGCTGGAGACCTGGTAGTCCAACTTTCACTCTTGTTGTTTTCTGTAGGGTAGTTTTTAAACTTATTTGGTAGTTTAACTGAGAGGTGCTGCGGGGTCAGCTCGGCGCCTTCTCATCTTTTGTTCTTTTTTTCCAGGGTCTCTCCAGTCCCTTTTGTTCCATTATTTACCACTGATTACCTCCGGTGAGGAATATTTAAAGGCAAAGAAAGCTCAGGGTTAAAACCTTGTATCTATGTGGCATACGTTCTGGTCTCCTTTATTTTTCAGCCTCGATCTAATAATTCTGGTTAAAACACTCATTAGTCGTTACATTTTGTTCACTCTCATTCAAAGTCACACCTTTCACCTCTTTCATTTCAGCTTCACAAAGCGCCGAGCACTAAGAAGACCCCTCTATTCACGGAGCGCCGCTCATCAATCCAGTCGTGTGTGGTCGGTGTTTATTCTGCTCATCATATGCCATGACTTACCTGTCCTTGTGCGAGTTCAGCGCGTTGAGGAGATTGTGACAGCGGTCTTGCCTTGGCGTGTCAGAGAGCTGGAGGAAAAGACAGGAATGAAAAATCAAAGCTGTGTTTACACAGCGGACGGCCATCAGGCTGAAACCTCTAATGCATACAATCGTTTTCTTTTACAGACACTGACAGCTATGGTGTTAATATGGTAAAACTACGTGCTGCTGCAGACACCCGGGTGGAAACAGCTCGCTGCGATGTAATGACAAGACAAACAATACATTAGAAAATTGTCTTTTAAAACCAGCTTAAAGGAGAAACAAAGGACTCAGATGAATGTATGTGAAATGCAAAGAAAACTCCCAGAGTGTTTCTCTCACTCTCTACTTTTATGTTACTCTTTATCCCTTGTGGAGCATCGTCAGACTTTAAAGCAGGCGGGATTACAACTTTAAGCCATGACACTGTAGTTTGAGGATTTGCCAACACACATTTATGTTTACAAATTCTGGCTTGTGTCCTAGATCAGTGATTCCCCAACTAAGGATAGCTGTATACCCCATGGGTTAGGCTATTTGTTCCATCGACAGGCCAAATAAAGAGATTTTTTTCCCTCTGGTGCCCTTCAATGTGGGGATGCAACTTAGAAGTTTTTTTTGAAAAAGGCTGAGGCATTCGGTAGATAAAAAGACTTTCTATCATCAGAGCAACATACGGACATGTTTCAGCCTCACGGGCCTGTATGAGAGCCTGAATGGCTGAAACATCTTAGCATGTTCAAACCCTTTTCGATACACACTCACAATCTAGATCATTGCAGCAGCACTACTCCAGAGATTCTCCTGATCTGGCTCTATGTGATATATGTGGCACAAAGAAATGGCTGAGCAGATGAATTAGACGGCTTTCACACTTGCAGACAGAAAACTCCTGATATTTCCAGGAGCAGCTAGGAAAAGTAGTCCTCCTGAAATGATCTAGATATGTTCAGGAGTGCAAATGTGAAAACAATGTGAAGTGGTAAATCTGGATAAAACATTGAAAGTTAAAGTTCCTAAAGTAAGGAATAAAAAGTTCAAACAGTTGGGCCTAGATAATGAATCAGAGATACATCAAATGATTTGTTTAGTTTTATATGTACGACTAGTTTAAATCTTAAAGTAGCTCAAACAATCAGATAAAGGCAGGCTACACTAGAATAAAGTAATGGATAAGTTGTTGAATTGTTCAGCTCAAAACCAGTGTACTTGAGTACTTGAGCTCGTCTGACTGGGTGCCGTCATGTTGTGGATGTGGAACGAGTGTCCTGAATAATATGAAGAGCAACAATCTGCCGTTCTTTAACTTTGTTCTGTTTCCCCTTTGAGCTTTGATAGAGGTCATTCTGTTTCAACTTTTAATTTGTACTTTAATGCTGCTTAATAAGCTTTAAGTCTCAAACGTTAAAAAGGGCTGGCAGCATTTCACATCATTTCATCATGGTGCTCAAACTAGGAAATATCAATACCGCGCCTAGGAGCAACGACTCCCAATTCTCATTGGTGAAGGACAGGATTTCATGGTCAAAATCAAAGTACTTCCTCTTGCAGCAGAGCGAGAGATGGTAGAGGACTAAATGAGCCAGATCCACCCTGCATTTCAAACACACACAAAAATATAAGGACAAGTCAATAAGATACAGCGTAAGCACAATAAAAGAAATGCTAAATAATGCAGATATACACGACATATTTCAGAATGTGTTTCATCATTAAACTCAATAGAGCGGTATCATGGTGTGCTGTGTTGGTGACTGAAGTAGCTGTAGCTCAACGCCATGAAGTTTTCTCTAAAACATAGAACTGTAGTGTGTAGGAAATAACGTCATCCTTAAATGTAGGTGAACATAAAAAATCAAGAGATAGCTTCAGCTCGTTGTGTCGCTAACATGTGAAGACATATCAGACTGTGAACATCACCAGGTCATGGGTAGTCTTTGGATGGTCTCTGGTCCCTTTGTACATACTGAGCACTGGAACTGATAAAACCTGTAAAGACACATGGGAGAAAAGTCCAAATCAGACGAGGAACACATAGACATAAACATGAGGAAGCGCCGGTAGCCTAGTGGCTAGTTTGCACGCCCCATGTTTGGAGATTATAGTCCTCCAAGCAGGCAGCCTAAGGATAGGGATTTCTGTCCCTATCCTTCTTCCTGCATCTCCCTGTATCACATTTTTCAAGCCTGATGCAGTTTTGGCAGATGGCTGTTCATCATCAGTCTGAAGTTTTTCTTGCCCCTGTAACTTTGCTCAATGTGCTCATGATGGATTAAAGGTGCACTATGTAGATTTGGGAGTGAAATTTGAAAGATGGAGAAGTGAAACAATTCCATACTATATTTTCCGACTAAATACACAAACTTTATTCCAAGGTAAAAATGGGTCCCTGAACACTGTCTGGAGCTAAAAGCTCCCAGGAGAATTACACTTTCACTGTTGCGGCCCCCCCACCATAACTTCTCTCGTCGCATTTTATCTTCCAACAGTGTTACAGTGACCAGATTTTCCTCTGAGGACAGTTTGTGTACAGGGTTATGAACATATACCACAGAATCTGTACATTTCTCCAACTTTCACATTCCTCTACCAAAACTACATAGTGCACTTTTAATGTTGGATCTTTGTAATATAGCGATGAGTAATGTCTTTTTACCTGCTCTTTTGTAAAGTGTCTTATTATAACATTTGTTATGAATTGGCGCTGTACAAATAAAAATTGATTGATTGATCGAAGGCAAAAGCCCCGCCCCCCCTTTGGTTTTCAGGCTGGACTTTGGAACAGCCAGCAGAGCTCTAATAGAGGATCTAAAGCCGTTTTCACATTCGCACTCCCCCTCCTATTGGCTCAAGGTGAATTCTCCTGATTAAATCCTGCTGCGTTCTCACATCAGCTCACTCGGACTTGCTGCGGAAAAAATACATGGGGTCTGGCAGGAGAATCTCTGGGTGTCCGAGCAAAAAATGTGGCTGTTTGCGTTCACACATATAGCTCCTACAGTAAATATCAGGAGTTTTCTGCAAGTGTGAAAGCCCTATCAGACTGCATCCTGTGTCATAGGGGGATAAAAGCTCAGAAATACAGGGACGGCCCATGTTGGGACGTAAAAGTAAATAATAATAATCCTTAAATCAACAGGCAGGTAGTGAAGGGATGCTAAAATTGGGGTGACGTGAGCACGTTTATTGGTTCTTGTCGAAGGCGGGCAGATTAATTTTGGACAGTTTGAAGGTGGTGGATTATTTGTTCAATGACATCGAGCAATCACAATTCAGACACAAAAATCATCAAACCAAACTAAAGCTAAGACTGAGTGAATCCTCTTAAATATAGATGTGTTCCTTTAAATTCCAGCTTGCAGACTTTTGTCTCATTTAGTTTTAAATAATTTTTCCCCTTGTCCTTCAGGTCTCTCTCCTCCAGATATCTGAATCATATAAATTACAGAAATAAGCAGACAGGTGCGTCTGACCCTGAAACTCAGCTCCAACCTCAACTACATCATGTACATCTGTCCTCCTATATGCACGTGTATCGCTGAAGGTCACTAGGAAAGATGAAGCGCAGACACAATATGAACGGCAGCGCACGCTTACTATTCCAACTGTGAACCCAGTCTTCACTCTTCCTCCATCACCTGCTCAGGCAGATGTTGTACCAATCCAGGCCTCGCTATCCCCGGCTGTCAATCTAAATCTAATCCCTCCTCTCTCTCTTTTTTTCACCCCCCCCTCTCCCGTCAGTAACACGGTGTCAGGGCGTGTGTACAACCCAGCCGGCTAACACAGATGGTTAATGACAATAATAACTTAATGGATGGAAACATTTTATGACACGCGTGAGATGCAGCCGATCAAACTGCACAGACATCAGCAGCCTGAATATCAAATCTGAAGCACGGGCACAGAGGTGATTCTTCTGCTGAATGTGAGCGGGGCTTCTTGTTCTTGTAACACACGTCAGTACGTTCACTAACTTGCAATTTAGTCTTAAGCTAATTAAGGTAACTCTGTGACATGTGAAGCTGTCATGAAGACGTCTTCATCTGATTACGTAACTCAGACCGAAACCCTGCCGGGATGATTCATCTATTAGTCGATGTGTCTGCAACTCACTCTGTTCATCTAATTATTTATCAAGTTAATGAGATGAGTATTCGTATAAAATCAGATAATAAAAGAAACTGATGCATTTAAACGAGGTAAACAGAGAAACCACGTGCCTAACATGAAAACACAACATGTCCAATTAATGGCATGCCATTATGGTTAGTACTGACTTATTTATAAGGCCGGGAACAGAAGGAATCAGACATCTAATGCACAGTAGCTGCTCTGTCCCAAAAGAAATCTGACATCACTCAATATATTTTTATCAGAATGTATTTCTTTTTTGAAGATTTTTTTTGGGTCATTTTCGTGACTTCATTTGAGAGAGCGACCCCTCACTGTGTCAGTGTTCCTCCTGCTGCTCTGCTTCTCTCTGCACATTCAAGTTGCCTTCAGGTAGATAAGGAGCTGAAGAGCTAAGGGGGTTAATATGAACGCCCCATGTATAGAGGCTACAGTCCTTCAAAGCGGGCGGCCCAAGCTTGAATCTGACCTGTGGCTTCCCCAGTTTCTCTCTCCCTGATTTCCAACTCTATCCACTGTCCTGTCTCTCTAATAAAGGCATACAAAAACAAAAATAAAACATCTAAAAAAAAGGGTTGTCTTAAGGTAGAGGGGGGCGGAGCCAGTTAATTTGAATCCATGAACCTAGGCAGGGCCTGGGTATTTAAGCAGTCTTCTCAGTTTATTTTTCTCTCTCACTGGAATCACCGCCTTTAGTTTGTCCTCTTGGTTTTTGCTTCCACAACACACATTCACCACCACATTCACCACTGATTTACAGACTGCAGATTCTTTTATAAGGCTGTTCAGCATTCATTTTCAATAAATGATTGTTTAAATTACTTTTAAACGGTGTGCTCTTTGTACAGCTCACTGAGCCTGGGTTGTGTCACCTCTAAACTCCCTCTTGCAGTCTGGCGCTATGAAATATTAGCTTAAAACCCACTGAGCTTTTGTTGTGCTCATGCATACTCAAAGTGAACTGTTATGATTTTAAATGTTCATCAGCTGCACCAACCGTGCAAAATCTTTTATATTTACAGAGACAAAACAGTCCAGAGATGTGTGCGTTAATGCTCAGTAACTCACCTGTCTCCATAGAGTAATGGCTTGGTTAGACACTGTGTGCAGGCCTCATGGAACCACTGACCGCAGCTTCCACACTGCAGCATCTTCAGATTCCACCTGCGGTCCAACCACATGAAACGTTGAGCGAGTTGAAACACAAAAAATGATTGATTCAATGTGTCCAGTGCCATTTTGAAATATGTCTTCAGGTGTAAACTCTCACCAGGTCCTACTAAACCTCGAGATGTAGCACTTTGGAGCTGGTTGTAAATGGCTTTACATGCTAAGTTTGGAGCTGTTTGCAAAAGAGTGCAACATAAACAATGCAGCGGAGTATGAAACACGCTGCAAAACTAAAAGAGAGTTTGTCTTAACAGTCTTTAGAAGCTTAAAGAGAACCTGCTAAAACTGTTGAACTCCTGAATGAAAAGGCTGCATGCGGGCAAAAAAAAAAAATGTATGAGCAGATCACCTTGACCTACATGGGATCACGTTCAGAAAAAAAAAAAAAAAAAGCATTCATGACCTGCACATGCAAACGCAAACTGGCCTCTGCAGCGTCACTCACTCTCCAGGGCCGGCACAGTAGCAGTAACACTGCTGCTGATTGGTCAGATGCTGCGGGTCCCAGTCTAACGACGACAGCTGGTAGGGGAGCCGGAGTTTCATGAACTGCATGAGCCGGGCGAAGCGTCCCCGTTTCAGGGCCCCTCCTCTCTGAAAAACAACCATTTTTTTTTTTTTAGGACAGAACTGATTGGGGCGGTGAGGTGACCCCCTCAAATCACTGTCATGTCGGGACAGCGAGGGAGACGGATCACATTTGGTGGAGGGAAAGCAATTTGTTTTATTGTAGGTCGGCTGTGAGAGATAGTGTCCGAGTCGTTGGCAGGCTGGACAATGAGATACGGACATTGACCGATTGACAATTAAGCGTCCGCTTTCTCATCTCACATCTACAGAACTGGAGCACATGTGATTGATTGACTTTAAATGTACTTCTCTCAACTTCAGGGTAATTCTTCAGCTTTCATAACTATTGATTCTTCATGATTTCTTGGGACACAATGTAGAACATCTAATATTCAACTCAATAGTGGCTGAATTAGCTCGTTTCTGCTGTACACAACAGTTTAGTGGCAGTAAAGCCTGATATATTTGACTGGATTTCTCCCACATTACACACTGAATGTTTTTTTTTTATCCCCCCGCAGAGTGTGAGACGGAGAGATTAGCAGCCTGACCTTGGTTGAGACGGCAAAGACACATTGCCGACATATCCAGGAATCGCTGTCGGCTTCCGGTTCGATGGTTGGCGTGTGGCACTCTGGATGATAACCTGTAATGGGAGGAGGAGGCAGAGCGTTTAATTCGTTTTTGCAAGACAGACAGCGAGAGTGACAATAATAATGGCAGAGCAGCTCCAATGTTAGTGCCCTGATGGTTTTTGTTTCAGCCGCATGCAAAAACATTTGACTTTACTATTTGCATCCGGGGATCGTCGAGTATGTTTGTCTGCTTTCCTCCTCAAAACAAAACTGTCAGCAAACAGTTCCTCTGATGCCGTGAAGGCGGTGAAACCCTGCTTGTTTGTAAAACTTCTTCCCACTTCATTTCATCATAATACTTTTTAAAGTCCCCCCTCCAGTCAAACATGTGTTTCTATTATTGTAACCTCACTTGGATGTTTGAGCTTCACTGTGCAGAATGATGCATGTGCACTGACTGACACTAGAAGCTTGTTTTCACATTCATTTGTCGACGGAAGGAAAGTTTCTCTGTGCTCACTTTAAACTTGAGTTTTTTTTAAGGCTTGCACATAAGAGCATGATTACCAGGTTTAGTAAGACAGTGCACGTACACTTCACACTGAGTAAGAGACTAATAAGAGCGCTTTCACACGTACACAAATCTAATAAAATCTTCAGGGTGACCTGCATGTGTGACGCAAAACTGCTACATTTTTTTTTTAGCTCGACTTTACCTGGATCTTTACCTGCCGAACCCCCCTTGAAAATTAAGTGATGGTGGTGAGAGTCGATGTGAGAACACAGCAGGAAGTATACAGGAGAAATCACATTGAGTGAGTGGGAGGGGCTGATGATGAAAAAAGTTGTAATCATAGAGTCAGACCCCCACTCGATCAGGAGTGCATACATGATAAGAAATGGCTAATCCTAAATTGTTGTCTCATAACGACGAGACATGAAATAAACAGAACACTGCGTGGTGCAAGAACTAACAAAGTCCACCACCATGATGACATGTTTCAGCTTTTATATCAATGCTAAGTGTAGTTCTACAAATTCACTCTATCAATAAAAGAGTGGAGAATAACATCCTGTCGAACAGAACACATCGTGAACAAGTTTAGGGTTATAGCATCTATTGCACGTTTTACAGTCTATGGTCGTGCGCAGGTCGCAGGATGTTAACATCATCAACCCCTCCCATTAGCTCGTTGTGCATTTTCCTGAATATTACCTGTTGCAATCCCACATCAGCTTGCCACGACTTCACAAAATATTCAAGAGGGGGGCTGGCTGGAAAATTCCAGGTAAAGTCAGGAGCCATGGTGGACTAGTGGTTAGTTCTCACTCCCCATGTTAAGAGATTAAGAGTCCTCAAAGCGGGCAGCCCAGGTTCAAATTCCATCCTGTGGCTCGTTTGCTCTCTCTGTGATTTCTGACTCTATCCACTGGCCTGTCTCTCAAACTGCATAAAAGGCCCCAAAAAAGTCAAGAGTGAAAAATGCGGATGTTTGCGTCCACACATGCAGCTCACCTCGAAAAACTTCAGGAAGTTTTCAGGAGTTGTGTTCAAGTGTGAAAGCACCGGTCGACTTTAAATAGTGGAGAATGAGTGGATGTGAGTCTGACTTTTTCAATAAAATGGTCCTTCATTTAAATCTGACTCAAACGTATTCAATAGAGGAAATCTTTGTCTTAAACTTGGACTTGAGTGAATCTTTCATTTTGAGAAGTGAATACATTTTTGGCACTTTGATGCAGCGGTGAGGAACTTTTATTTTGAGTCCAATTTTCAACCCCTGAGGGCAAACAGTACATCTCATCTTTTCACTGCTCCTGTCCTGTACATGCATGTGAGGTATTCTCTGACTAAAATCTTGGACTGCTTCTTTTAAACTTGCAAACATTCAGGAGATAATGTAAAGTCCCACCCATGTGCTGTAGTTCCCTTTGAAAGAATCCCATTTGCGATATAAAATACATAGAAGTTAGAAGTAGTCGATCTTGTAGCTGAAGGTCTGATTTTCTTTTATAGGTTATGTCGAGGCATCGGTTATACTAACCAGTTAAAATCTCCTGCAGTAGGTTAACATCTTTGAATAAAGATCCATGTCTAAGTGCGTCTGGTTTTTATTCTGCGCTCGAGCCAAAAACTCACATCCATCATTCAGGATGAATGGTCGTCTGTGTTATTTCTTTTTATAAGAGCGACACTGTTATTCAGCCGATTGTGTCCCTTCTTCAAGGTCAGCACAAGAGAGCCGGTGGAGGAAAAAAAAATAACACTTGAGATCTTATGATCAGATGTGTTTCCTTACCGTGGCGACACTTAAGACAATTTATGAGGGGTTCTTTAAGAGGCGGGGCGTCACAAATACAGCAAACTTCTTCCACTCCAGCAGCGACTGAGACAAACAGAGAAAGACAAGACACAGAAAGAAAGAGAGAGAGAGAGAGAGAGAGAGAGAGAGAGAGAGAGAAGCGAGCAGTCAACAGCATTAATTTATGTATATTGATTCACATCCTTGCCACCTCATTGATTCCAGTGTCTCCTGCACCCTTTTAGATTTCACTTCATCTGACGGGCGGATATTCAGCCTGCTTCTAACAAGCGTCCAACCCCCCCCCCCCCCCCACCCCTCCCCTCGCGCTTGATGTTGAGGTGGAGTGGGGGCGCCATTTCCCTGAGGAGTCATTAGTCTAATAAATTCATAAATAGACTCTAATACGGCAATTACATCTCAATGTGGCCCCGATCAGAATACTCAGAGCGCTCAGCATCATAACCTTGAACGTGACTGTCATTTCTGCTCTGAATTTTTCTTAGAAGCAATTCAGAGATCCTTAGACAAAAAAGAGCAAAGTTTTAGTCTCACAAGGGTGGGGGCTTGGGGGGGAATCAGAAAAGTACTCCTTAAACTCCTCAGGCAAAGTTTCAGAGTTGGAACACACACCTGTACTTTGAGAAGAGTTGAGCACTTCCACAGTTCCAAACTCAAACTAGGAGAGTTTTTTTTTTTTTTTTTTTTTTTTTGAGCCAAAGCAGAAATAAAGTGCCCCCAATAGGAAGCCATTTACTCCTCTACCTGAAGAGGGGGGGGGGAAGAGTTTTTCTTACACGAGTGAATGTCCTTTCTCAGCACCCAGAACTCGGAGTTGTCCTCAAATCTCACCAGACAACATTGCTTGACTCCATCTACCTGAGAGGGAGATAGCAAGTGAGCAGAATGATTGACAAAACTAAATTGAAGTCTTTTCAAATCTCACACACACACACACACACACACACACAGACTTACTCTTTTCACATTTCCGAGGTACAGTAGTCCATCACTCCATCGAGCCAACACATCATCTCCTTCACTTACTCCCCCCATCCTGAGGAGAGAGACAGAGAGAGAGAGAGAGAGAGAGAGAGAGAGAGAGGGGGAGAGAGGAGGAGAGAGAGAAGGGCTCATGTGAAATGGAAATCCGATTTATTCGCTGAATACTTTGCTGCTGTTGCTGACAGAGGGGTTTATAGCCCCGGCTTTCCTTCTTTTTTTTTTTTTTTTTGGCTTGCTCTCAGACAAACGGGATTCGGTGCAAAGGGGTTAAAATCTCTAACACCCCCCACACACACACACACACACACACACACTCCCCTCTTTTCCTCTTCATCCTCCTCCTTTTAGACCAGAGCATAGCGACAGCCTGTATCTACCACAGTGAAAGATGAGAGTGAGTACACAACCAGAGAGCAAGACAAATGATTCCTGCACACATGAAACACACACATGCGCGCAGACAAAACACTGCATGATGACTGCTGCAAGATTGAATGAGCAAAGGATCACTTGAAGCGGGCACTTTGCAGCTTTCTTCTTCTTCTCCTAACATCTTGAAAAAACTTGAATAGATGCATGAAATGACTGTGCAGGCTATATCTCTGCACATTTGTTCCAGTGCATGCACTCAAGTCAAGGCAGACGCAGGATGCAAAACACTGTGCGTAGCCTTTCTGTGAATCTAAAATCAGACAAATTGGGCAGTGTAAGCTGACCGGTGAAGGGTACCTGTCAAGTCGAACTCCTTTCCGTCGGGGTCACAGTGATTCCTGGGCAGCCTTGACATGAAATGCCCTCATCTGATGTGGATCTCCGCTGCCCAATTACTGCCCGGTCGGATGCGCAGCCTGCGTGTTTCCAAAAAGTGGATGATGTGCATGTATGTCCCTGTCTGTGCCAAGCGCCTGTGTGTGTCAGTCAAGCCGAGGAGGAGGAGGAGGAGGAGGAGGAGTGGGGGGGGGGGGGAGGCGACTGACTGACTGACTGTCCGTCCGTCGCTCAGCCTAGTTTGTCCGTCCTCCGCTGTGCCGTTTCGTCATGTTCCCGTTGCTTTCACCCTCCTCGCCCCCCCTCTATTGATGCTATTAAGGCGTTTTTTTTTTTTTTTGTCAGAGCAGCACCGGAATCAAGCCGCCAGAGACGCCATCATCCCTGCCTCGCGCTCTCCACCGACTTGTTGTGACGCAGACATAAAACACCGAGATAGAGTGGGAGGGAGATACTGATAGAGGGGAGGTGGTGGTGGAGGTGGAGGAGGAGGAGGAGGAGGTGGTGGAGGGGTGGGGGGGCGTCCACGGCGAGAGCAGCACCTTCCCGTCTGAGGAGGCGCTGACCCTAAATCGTTGTGACAAGGTGGGATTGTGATGTCTGGCAAGGCAGCACGAGGGAGGGACGGCGGGTGACAAGTACCAGCGGAAGCAGCGCGCGCAGCGACGGGAGCCAATTAAGTGTCCAATTAATGAGTTTAGCCGCCTCATTAGTTGGTCTCCAACAAGAGGGAGCAGCCGAGGGAGGAGGACTGTGGAGGAAAGTTTTCTAACTGGGATGGTCCCAGCAAGCAGTGCCGAACATTTTGTTACTTACATTTATCAACACTGATTACAGTGTCTTTGTTCCCAAATGTATGGGAGGTAGATGGTGTGATTGTTTTCTTTAGATTATTAAAGGAATGTTTAACCAATGATTGGACATTGAACCATCTTCTCTGATCAAAAAGTCAGCCATAGAAGAACACTTACACAAAAAAAAATGTTGTAACTAAATCACTAATTAGCATTTTCTAAAATTCCTTTAATTATCATCCTTAAAAAAACAATAGTTTTACAGCCTACAGATTTTTATTATCAAAAACTCAAATGGCCTTAAAACGATATCAGCAAGACAGATGTGAGAGATATCCTGTTTCACAAGACATCCAGAATAATAATATTTGAAGTGTGATGGAAAATATTGTTCAAGCAAAATGAGTTCTGGCTCTGACTATTACACAAACTCAAAAAACTCACAAATTCAGGCTATTTGAAATATCTGGCAGAAACAACGCAAACTGCTCAGTGGGATGGTCGTAAAACAAAAGCTGCACCTTATTGAAAATAAATCAAATGACCTTAAATCTTATCCATTCCTTCCACATCAGAGGCAACATCAGGCTGAGACTGTTTCACAAATACTCACATATGTTATTTTAAAGACGCTTAATTAAGCTCAGTGCAAGGTACATTATACTCACAGTTCAGTTGCTTTTGAGGAAAACGTCTTGTCAACAGGCACTTATCCAAATCAAGGTGTTTGTTTATTTCTCCATGTTTGTGTCTTTTGCTGTTTATTTACATCTTACACGTTATTACTCACACCAGTCAAGCGTGTGGGAACACCGTGCGGTTCAAAATGGCCCCTGGCAGATTTTGTTAAGTGTTAAAGTGGACATTTCCGGCTGTCACCACTAGGTGGCGAGCAAATACAAGAACTCCAGCTGGACTGGAATCAGCAGGGCAGTCTGTCTGAGGGATGCTCGGGGTCATTAAGTTCATAAATGTGATGTGATTTTTACTCATTATATCAGGTGTTAAATAATATAGCGTGTCTTTTTGTTGTTTCGGGTTGTTTTCAGACTATTTCACTGTTTTGTAACCTCATGTACAAAATGATCAGTCATCCAGGATATAGCAGTTCTGATTTTTTTCCATTAGTTTTTAATTCTATTTAATTTTTGTTTTAAATTCAGTTTAGTATTAATTACGTTTTAATTTAGTTTGTTAGTTTAGTTTTGATTTTGTGAAAATGCTTACTTTTCCTTTCCAATTTATTCTTTCTGACATTTTTGCATTTATTAGACAGGACAACTGAAGAGGGACATGTTGGGAGGAGAGAGTGAGGGTGATGACATGCAGCAAAGGGCAGAGGCCGGATTCGAACCCACACCTGCTGCAGCGAGGTCTATAGCCTCACATGGGGGTGCACAACAAAGCTGCTATATAGGCTATCCGGCGCCCCTGAAAATGCTTAGTTTTGGTTTAATTTGAACAGAAATGGTTCAGAGAAAGATATCAAGCCATTTCTCCAAAAGTACCCTTTTAAATATTATTATATAAGAAAGTTAAAAAAAGTTTTACCTTCTGCAGTCAGCATGAAGCTCATCCACAATCATAGCTGACATACCTGAGGCAAATTGTAAGGATGGGCGATGTGTCACTCAGTATGTTTGTGCCAAAGACAAAAACTAAGGACATTTTGTCTTATTATATTTTACTTAGTTTAGTCAGCACACAATGCAGTTTCAGTTTTTTTTGTAAAGCCTTGTTTTAAATTTCTTAGTTTCAACTAATGGAATTGTTTCTTCATTTTTAGTTCTCGTCATTTGTTTGCTTTTGTTAACGATTTCAACCTTTAAATCATGATTCTGGTGATCATATGACATGTTAACACTTTGAACACAGAGGTGATTGAACGTCTTCCAAATACCTCAGCGAATCTGTCTTTTTGTCACCATCTCGAGCGTGTAAAAAAGAAAGCTGAGGGTGAAATTGTGTTTCTTCTACAGAAACAAAAGCTGTTTTTCTTTTATTCCTTAAAGAAACTCATCCAAGCACCATGTCTATCTGTGACTATACGGAGATGTTCTTTATACGCATGCTGCCTCATCGTCACAGAAAATGCTGGACTCAGTGTACCATGCTGCATTGCGATTTGTCTCTGCTTGAGGTTTTCCTACACATCATTGTGTCTTGTAGGGAGAGGAGGTTTGTCTTCCTTGTGCAACTAAAGGATGGAGCATTGGAACATTTTTCTTCATAATGCGACGCTACATGACCCGCCTTCTTATTCATGCTCCCTGCTGAGTCCTAAAACTATCAGCAGCTGTAGCCTTCGATCTGATGGACTCATCATAGGTCTCGCTCTGTCTTTGGTGGAAGTGTTGTTAGTGTGTTAGCTCCTTGTTCTTGGTCTGAGCTGCAGAGTCACCTTACACTAGAGCCCATAGTTGGCTTGGAAGATTTTAAAACCAGGATAAAAGATCAAGGATGAAAACTTCAAACCAAAAAAACAATATTGGTTAAAATAATCCGGGTCAAGGCATTCAAAAAGGCCCGAAAGCATTTAAAATACAGCAACGTGTATCGTTTCCCTCCACCTTTATGAAGTATTCCCTACCAAGAGCACTGGTGGTTTGAGGGATCCAGAAGCACTCCTGTTGTGTCTTTTTTATTCACAGGATAAAGGATCATTTGACCATGCACTGTATGCACTTGTTTCTCTTCTTAACACTTTGTTGATTGATGTCATTTCTGTTTATTCTCTGTCCTTTGTCCTCTGTGTGAAAGTTTTATGCTGATGTGTTGACTACTAGACTCCATAGAAAAAGAGATCTTGTATCTCAAGGAGAATATTGTCCTGGTAAAATAAAGGTTAATACAAAGTTCCTGTTTATCCTGACAGCAGGAGAAGTAGGCAGCAACATTTTCCAAATTCAGTTAGCCCCCCAGCAATTAACTGATGAAGGCATCAGCTGATTAATAAGCGACCTTTTGGAGGGCTAAGCATGACACAGTTTAGATCAGTGTCATGAGGTGTCATGAGACTCTGGGGCAAACACACACACACACACACACACACACACACACACACACACACACAGGAGCAGCCAGCATTTTCCTGAAAACTATTTTGTCCTAAATTTGAAAAAAAAAATCTGTAGGTGCCTAAATTAAATGTTAAGATCATCCAGGTTTGGTGATAAGATGACGAGAACATTGGATCCAAAGTTTAACCGGTACGTCCAGTTTAGTTGAGCTGGGGAATGTGAAAGAAAGAGCCTATCAGATGTTTCAGATGAGTAGCAGAGAGAACTCCCATGATTCCCTAGCATGGACATCATGTTTTGTTATTGTAGTATTGATTGAGAGCCCCCTGGTGGCGGAATCTACATATTGTATCTTTAAGGTGTTTATTTTCGAACCTGATTATATGGATACAAACGAGTGAAAATATGTTGCAGAGGCTGCATTTAAAATCATAAATGTAAACAGTTAGGATCTGGTGTGTGTGACTGAATGTGAATGTGAATATTTACATATACTTTTGAAGTTCTATTTCTATGTAAAAACGTGAACAAATGCTTTATAATAAAAACAAACCACAAAATGTATCTCCTATCTTGTGTTTACGTTGTTTAAATGCGGTCAGATGAGTTCAGGAGGTTACAAGTTAAAGACCTGTCGCTGACAACTTAAGAGCGCGCGTGTAACGGTGTGTATGCGTGCATGCGTAGGCGCGCGTGCGCAAGCCTTCCGTGCGGAAATGCGTCCGTGCGCGAGATGTCTCTCTCTCTCTCTCTCTCCCCCGGTGCCTTACGTGACATTTCCCCGGAGGAGCGGTGCACTGGAGCCTGTGTGCTGCAGGCTACAGTATCCTCACACTGAGCGCCACCAAGAGAGAGAGAGAGAGAGAGAGAGAGAGAGAGAGACGAGAAAACAGAAAACACAACGTACAGGAACTGCGACGGAGAGAGAGAGAGAGAGAGAGAGAGAGAGAGAGAGAGAGAGAGAGTTGACTGCTCGACCCAAGTGCGCTATCAGCTGCTGAAGGCTGGACAGACAGGCGGTGTGGGGGACGCTGATAGAGAGGGGGGGGGGAGATACTGAGATAGGGCGAGATAGGAGGTGAAGGGGGTTACGAGGCGGAGGACAGAGCTCTCCCTCGTCGTGGGTGACGGTGGTACAGATGGGTGCGTCTCTCCCTGGCTCGAGCCGGCAGCACAAGCGGTCACCCTAATGCAGCCTGACATCCAGCTGCGAATGACACTCGGCTAACAGTAAGTCAAACTACAGCTGCACTCAGTTATCTCCGACTCTTGCTCGTTTTATCGCCTTTCTTTTTTTTAAAAAAATGTCCAGGGCCTGAGTGACACAGTAGGAAGCAAATGTCATCATCTGTCATTCCTGTGTGTTGCAATAAGAGCGTCAGCACGTACAAACTTTTACTGCCTGCATACTGTTTCAGGCTGTTGTTCTACATATCAGATGCGGCTACAGCGTCAGGGCTGTGTGTATGCCTGTAACACCACCATATGGCTGCTTTTGTTGAGCTACAGAAAAGGAGCATTATGGGGTGTGACTTCACTGTAACCTAGATACAGCTGTATGTGTGTGTACACCTCAGTCATATGCAGGCTGTTTGCTTTGGTCAGGGGCAATGAATAGCAGGCATTCAGACCTCTGCACGGCCGTTGGTCAGGACATAAACTGTTCTGTTTATAACTTGTTTCCCCTGCAGGCTTTGCATGTGCTTTCTCCTCCTCCTTCATGCACACTTAAAATAAGCACACACACAAAAAAAATGCCATCTTAAAATACATGTAGAGAGAAAGTCAAGCGCTGCATCAATGCTACAGAGCTGCAGGCGTCCCAAGACAAAAGCACAATGGAAAGTTTTAGGAGTGCCAGCACATTTTTAAATCACTCTCGAGGCTTTTTTAGCGCCTGTGCTTTCTTACCCAGGGCTGCGAGAGTCGACAGGGGGGTCTTTAGAGGATTGATTCCTTTGCAGGTTTTCAGTTACAGCAGCTACCTGCCCGACAGCCACCCTGCAGGCTTTGCTCACTAACAAAATAAGAAAGAAACTGAAAAGAGCATAATGTTTATCCACATTTTAGTGCTTAAACTGGAGTTTCAAAGTTCAGGTTTTATGGTAGGGTTCATGTAGGTGGTTAGGATAAGGAGTTTGTATTTGGCATTTTAAGAGCACTCATCCTGTATCGGCCTCTCTCCCTCCTACACCTCTCTTCCTGAAACTGTGTTTACTAGATGTCTATCTTCATGGCAATCTAAATACCAAAGAGAGGAAAGGGAAATGGAAGGAGGGGTTACCATGCAAATCCTGCTCTGCTGCCGTGGGGCACAGTCAATGCGTTTAAACATATTAACCACAGATTGACTTCCAAGCTACAAAACAACTAAGTGTTTATCTTTCATGTTGAATTTATTCATGACCAGAGTCTAAAGGGGTCTCATATACAGTCTAACATTCATCCAAATCACCCATTGGCTCATATTTTGTGTCCTATTAGAGTGTTAAGTGATCATTAGAAGTTCAGTTTCTCCATCTTTTATCTACCAGAGTATAAACATTTCATATACTTGTCAACTAAGGCAAGAAAACACAAGTATTTTTGTGTCCAAGCTGTAAGAAAAAGGCAGTTCACATGAGCGGTTCAAAGACAGGAAAGGGGAGCACATGAACTTTTGAAGGCCATACTGCACAGCCTGGAGGGACTGTGCATTTGTTCCTCATCACTTCTGATGAAGGCACATTACAAAAAGATTTTTAAAATCGAAATGCCAGCATTTCATGAACAGGAAGATGATTACAGCGAGCGTGTTCGTGCAAGGCACTTCACCATCCTATTAAAATTGTTAACCAATCCCTTTTTGATGGATTTAGAAGAAGCACATCAAGGTGATATAAATAGCATTTAAGAAGAGTAGAACAATCCAGGAGCGGATGAAAACTCAGCCGTAATTGAAGCAACAATAGAATACATAATTAAAGTGTGTTGTGACGCATTCATAAGTAATCCCAGATTAAGCGGATGGTTTTCAAAGGATAAAAAAAGTCGGAGGAAAACGATTCACTGTTTTAGAAACCATCTATTTTGAGAAATGATTCATTTAAACTCAGACGGCAAATACGACTCACTCGTATTTTTGAAGACTCTACAATGTGCTTCTTAAGACTGATTTGTAATAAAGAATTAAAGCTTTATTTTAAATATTATAATGGCACTAATAAACCTCACAAATCTCAACATGTGTAATTGTAATGTTTGCCTGTAAGAGACCATAAAACACGTCTTTTCTCCGTGTTCTTCTTCCTGTCTGGGGCAGCTGGCACCATGCTCCCCCGAAACATGCGAACAGGTGGCTGTGACCTTCCGGGCGTGGAGTCAAGCGAAGTGCCTCTCATTGGCTACCGGCCCTTGTCACCTGACAGCAACACCAACCAATACGGGAGGGGAAGCAGCAGGGATGAGCTGGACACTTCACAGGTGAGTGTTTTCTCCCTGCGTCATTGAAACACATCCATCATCTGAGTCACTGGAGCGTGTTCCAGAGAGGGATAGGAACATCTCCCTCAAAGCTCTGAGATGATCTTTGTTTTATCTGCTTACTTCATTGGTTTTCTTCTGACCACACAATAAAGTGGGGAGTTTTTTTTTTTTTTTCTATCTCTCATGGTTTTCCTGGCAGACACAGCGAAGTAAAAGATGTGGTCGGCTGGTTTTTTTAAGAAAACCCTGAGGGCATCAATTCAGTGTGGTGCAGACAGAAAGGAAGGGGAAATGAAAATAACATAGATTTGTAAAGCTGCTTTCACACCAGGGCAACCCAAAAAAATGCTGCTTGTTTTCACAAACTGAAAGATTAAGATGAAATGTTAACTCATTTTTTAAAGGAGTTTTGGATCATAGTTTAACAACAAAACCATTGAAATTAAATGGCATGACAGATTTTTCCTTTTACCTATGTCACAGTTTAAGGCCCCAGAGGACGAACCACAATGACTGGGATGAGCCCCTTTTTTCCAGCGCTATCATGTAGCTGATACATAGACTGTAAGACATGGCGATAGTCTCGGTCAGCACGTTTATGTGCACAGTTAAACGCACAGGATGTAAATTTTGCCGCCATGGGGCTCTCAATCAAAACAATAACAAAAAGATGATGTCGAGGCTAGCGGGGAATCATGGGAGGTCTCCCTGCTCCCCGCAGAATGAACTCCGACTAGATCGTAGTCAATACGAACGGGCGAAACAGACTAAGGAAGAGAATATGTTTACAGACGATGTATCAATGTATAATTTATATGGTGTTTTATTATCACAGCAGGACATACAGCAACAGTACGGCAGCTTTCACTAGCAGCATATGCTTCCTTATGTAGCGGTCTTTGACATAACATCCGGTGTTTCCTTGGTAACGATAAACATGTCGTGTCTGTCATGGCGGCCGCCTCGAAGAGACACGTCCCGTTACAACTATGAAATTACAGATTTCTCTGGTTTTCATAACTGTTGGAAATTGTTTAAGTAATGTAAGTACTCAACAAAAAAATGTATATACCATAGGGTTAGTCAATCTTTAATGAATTTATATATGTTAATGGAAACATTCTAATACAATTCTACATATTGTACCTTTATATCAGATGACCACTAATAAAAAAATTCACACTAAGCCTGTTTGTACTGCTAGTGCTATTAGGCAAATGTAATCTTGCTTATTCAAATATTAGATGATATAAAATGTCTCTTACTTAGCACTAGACTATTAGTCTTGTTTAAAATAGCATTTTAAAGATGTTCTTTCAATCTCTTGTGGTTGTTTTTTAAGTCATCTTTTACACAGTTTGTGACTGAAGTGCACTGACTCTATAGATAACATCTGTTGTAATGATGACCTTTTGAACTAACTTTGAGGAAGTTAAAATATTCACAGCACAGGTGGATTTCCCACGACTTTTCACCTCTGTTAATGTTAAGCGGTGATGCTGAGGTTCCTGAGTCTCATCAATACTTTTACAAATAGCTACCGTCCAAACTTCTCTCTTGCATGTGTGGTATAAAACTCTGATATTGTGATGGTGATATTTTCCCTGAGTCACAGTGATCTACTGACCCACTCTCACATGAGCCTGCACATAGCTCTCTGGGTTAACTTCACACAGAGCCTCAAAGACCTCCTCACAGCTAAACAAAAAAAACAAAAAAAAAACAGGTTGCTCTGACTCTCTTTCTCAGTGAGCAGACTTCCTCTGTGCTCGAGTCACACATTGCAGCTGCTGGACCTCGCTGTTAATAATGCATGGGGGCCGTTTGGCTGCTCGATGAGGTGTACACCTGCTCTCCCTGTAAACAGTGTCCAGTATCACAGAGCGTCTCCAAGGACAGTCTGTCGAGTGCAATCCAATACGACCACTCGCTCATTCTTTCATGAGGGAAACTTGGATGTATGAGTCAGAATGCAACCTTTGAGTTCACAGTTAAGCTTTTAGGTGAAAGAAACTCAACATAAAGCGTGTCTTCGTGCTCAGTTTTGTAGATTGTGATGACATATGAAATTCCAGATAAGAGATGAAAATACGTTTATATTTTGGAGCCAGTTTAGTTTTTTCTTGCTGGTTTGTTTGTGTGAACTGAAGATAACTGAACAAATGTAGGTAAGGGTTTCAAATAGCAGAATCTTTGACCTGCAGCCACAAAAGAGCTGAGATAAAAGTCTGAAGAATTATATAGATATCAAGTTTGGTTTTAAAGTTTTTATAATAATGTCTTCTCATCTCTATACTTATCATTTTATGTCAAGGGACTCATTCATGGTTATTAATGGGGGTGTGACTGAAACACTGCTCCTTAAGTTGTGACATTGGAAAGGTATGTGTGGAGGAGGTTTGCTAAAGGTTGTGGACCATCTGAGGCAGTCTTGATAAAGTATAATAGCGCCTATAGAGCCCGGCAGTATCACCCAACATCAGTAAAACTTGTGTTCTTGTGTCTATCAGTATATTTTCAAAATATTGTCTGAAGCCCTCAATGAAGCTGGAAAGAAATTACCACAAGTATTTGTAAAGCAAACGAAGACAAAGTGTACAAAAGAGTTATATTTGACCGTCCAATCACTTAACAAAGAAAGCACACCTGTTGTTAAATCAAGATGGGAAGCAAAGGGGGCGGCATGACAATTACACAAGAGAAATCAGAAGACATTTTTCAAGCAACGATGAAAAACAACAAGCTCTTGGCTGTGGAGAGTTTTCTTGGAAAAATGTAATTCCATATTTCTGTACCCCTTCGCAAAGACAAATCCATTTCAATTCAGACTGGTGGGAGATGATGCGGACGCAAAGACGCAGTTTCCTCGCTGTCATCCCACTTCGGTTTCAATCTCATAATATATTGGAGACGGTCGATGTTATCGGCTGGCTGATTAATCGGTCGGGCTAGTTTGGATGCAATGTCCACTTTAATCCCATATGTACACATATTTCTTGGCTAGCTGATTACTGTGTTAACCCACACTTTTTAGAGGACAAAGGCAACAATACTTGTCTGGGTATTTCTGCAGAAATGATTCAGTAAAGTATTATAACAGGGTTCAGATTGAGGCGAAGTGCGGCACCTTTGCCCTACAGACTGACTGGAAGACCATCCCACACTGATGATATCTCACTGAGTAATCAAATCCTCAGGAGGTTTTTTCTTTTTCCTTTCAGGGGAACAGAACAGCTTTGGCTTTAATGCCTCAGAGTTTTACTTAAAAGCGAGCAGATAACGGGCACCAGGGGAAACATAGATGAAAGCCGCAAAGAGGAGCAGAGAGAAAGATAGGAAGGAAGGGGTCGGGGGTTGTGAACCACTCCAAAAAAACAATGGTTAATAATACTTCAGAAGATGTATTTATGATCCCTTGTTTGCTTGTAAATAAGGGCATGTGTGTATTTGTTCAAAGACAAAGCTTTTTAGCACAGCGGAAGCCTGACTTCATGGATTTATTTAAGGAAAGGTGGTTGTTTTTTTGAGTCGTTGGGTGAAAAAAAAAAAGGGTCAGCTTCCTGCCCTTTGCCTACCAAAAGCTGACGTCGTTGCTCAAGAGAAGGGGAGGACGCAGTCTTGACTTTTGATGGAAGGAGAGGGGAAGAAAAATAGCTTCGCAGCACGACAGCACGTCCTGCTTCCTGTGTTTGTCTCCACTTATTATGTGCTTCCTGTCTGCAGCTGGAGGGAAGGGGGGGCTTTAAAAGAAGGAGAGCTTAGAGAAGATATCATCTTTTTAAAAAACATAAAGTTCCAGTTAAGACAAAAACAATGGTTCACATGGGAAAAGTCAATATTGGTTTGGCAAAACCTCTCAAATCAGGGCCTTTGAGTCTTTTATTATGAACCAGGAGCGACTCATGCCACCCACCACAGTGCCCGATAATCCTGACGCTTATCCACCAGGCAGCTGAACTCCAAACTACACACACCTATTATGTTTAGGAGAGTTTCTCCACTGAAAGAGCGGCTGACTCTGACCCAGATTTCAGCCTGCTTTCAAACAGCAAACCCATTTGGTGCTCCACTGAAAAGCATTTTATCTTCAGTATCTCGATACAGCGGCCCTGACTGGAAAAAAAGGAAACAGAGCAAAGGGCTGCTTGACTTTGAGCCTGGGACTGTGGTCCACAGAGTCACTGTGCTCAAGTACTAAAAGCCAAAAAATGTATCAGTCTGCACCAATGCAAAAGCTTCAGGGGATTTGACATTGTCTTGCATATAAGCTACATTTAAACCCATTATTTTCAATTATTAATCTCTCAGTGTGACTTGTTAGCGTCAAGATAATGTTAACGTTAATGATACTGCTCACTGTCTGCACATGTATCTCATCTGTCGCCTCTCCTTCATCACCTTTTTTTTTTTTTTTACACATTCACAGTTTTCCGGCTAAGTGAGAAGTTTAATAATATTCTCATATATTATTTAATTTTGATAGGTTTTGTGATAACAAATCCTCTTTCTGCTTAATGACATGCAAGAACACACAGACAGTTTAATAAGGCTTCAAGCAACAAAATGAGTTTCACCTACTGATGTTGTAAGAGAGGAAGGATATTTAACTAAAATTAGAGCACAACAAACTTAACGTCCTTTGAAGAAAATTGCAATTCATTGTATTTAAACTTAAAACCTGTGCACGTTTAAAATGTAAATAAATGAGCTGAAATATGAACTCACCAAGATGTAGAATTTAAAAAAGAAACCTTATACAAGTTGTGTGTTGTATGCCCTCATGATAGGTGATGTCATTGTTTGCGAAGCCTCTCTGTCAAAGTAAATACACTTTGTGTGCACTTTTGCTTTTGAGGATGACTAATGCTCGTCAGCGTCGTGTAACTTTAACTGCTCAGACCCTGAAGTATAGTTTGAATAATATCTCACATGTCTTTATTCAATCATTTATTGTTTACTTGAAAGTTTTGCACCGTCTGTTTCCATCTTCATTAGAA